TTTTATGATAAGGGTTCTTTCTAGACTGCAAGTGGACAAAACTCATACAAATAACAAATATATACAAATATATCCAAGATGTAAACATAAATTAACATTCAATTTGGATAGATGTGTGTTATGTTAATTAAATTAGTTATGTTAATTAAATTAGTTATATTAATTAATTAACCGATAAGGTAATGGCGCTCCCCTTCTTTTGGAAAGTATAATATTTCAATTTATAACGTCCTCAATTCATAATTTCCTAATTAAGAAGAAGATATTTATTAATATTTAAAACGATTAAAAATCTTTCTTCATTAAACATATGCTGTCACTATTTTGTTATCTGTATGAATTTGTTTTCTATCGTCGCTCGTGTCTAGAATATACTCTATATATTGCAAGTGCAAAAATTTGTGCCAGATTTATTATTTAAAGTTCAAGCAGCTGCCACAATTTTGTTAAAAATAAACTGAAATTTAAATTTAAAAAGAGAGTTTTAAAGCTTGAAATTTCTACTTTCGAATGGTTACTATATTTTTTTTAATTTATGTGAGTTTTGTAATTTTTATATATAGAAAACTTTATATATAGAAAACGAATTAAATAAAACGGGAAATTTTTTCTTCACTTTATGGGCCAACACACACACATGTCCAAAAAATTTGCAAAAATTTTTGAATTGTTACTGTAAAAGTTTAAAGTTTTCCTTATAAAATCGTTTTTAAAAAATATCTCCACAAATTTGTGTTACTAAGTTGTTGCGAATTAAATAAAAACAATATTTTAATTTTGATTACTCATAACTCCGTCAAACCATCACAATTTTAAAAAACAGATTCTTAAATTCTCTCATCAGATAGAATAAGATTTAGATTTTATTTTATTTTTAATAAAAATAGCAACTGTTTGAATTTTGAATAATAAATAGGGTACAAATTTTTGCACTCACCCAATATTACTATATTAACTTGTAAAGTCAGCTATGTAATTTCGGTTGATTCGAAAGAAAACGCGAATTAATCAATTCGATGAAAAACAAAACATAATTTTTATTTTATAAACGTCGTAACATTTGAAACGATTTGATTAATTAAAAAGTTTATCATGTTTTCGAGAATTTATGCGCGGATTCGTGAAGTAATTAAAAAATTATTTTTATTTATAATAAAATTTAATAAAGGAAAATTATAATTGTTGTTGTCGCCATAACAAATATTAATTTTACTTCAGTTTATTGTAAGTAATGAAGAATTTATTATTCATGAAAATTCGATTATATACACGTTATTGAATGGCATAGTTTTTTTCAATAATTTGTATTTATTTGTTTGTAAAAATTCGCCTAAATGATGCAGCCTAATCAAGAAAGTTACATTGAAAATGTAAACGAGTAATTTCGATCAAATAGAAATAAATTTGCGTGTATAGATTTTTTTTCTGTTTCAAGACAATTATTCTGATAGCGAGATTGTTAAGGTCGGAAAATAAATTTCTAGATTAGCTTAATTTACGCTGACACGGGTGATAATAAAAGATTCGCACATATATGTAGTATGTTTTCGACAACGTCAGATTTATGGTTTCATTGTTTTTAAGCTTTAATAAAAAGATTGTTTTATAATCTTAACATTCGTGACAACTATGTTTTATAAATAATAAACGCGAACATCTAGCACTTATATTAAATGCAAAACACTTAAAATAATTTAAATTTTTGGTGTGTGTTGCATTTTATATATACATATAATATCGATGTTTCAGACTCGCCTTTATTGTTTCTAATTAACATAGTTACAAGGTAATATTGCAGTCGCAATAATTTTTACGGCAATTTAATGAACATGAGTTCAAAAATAATTGCAAAAGCATTTTACAGAATTGCAAAGAAATATTAGTAAGTACATTTACTAAAAATGCACTTTTTACAAAGAAATACCAATTTAGAAAAGAATTTTTAACTCGAAGTAAAATATTGGAAGAAAAATCTCTTTATTAATTATGATTTGTAAATTTATTAAATTAAGTTATATCTTATACATCCATAAATCTGCCGTTGGACTTTAGAAATAGCATCGCTCGAGCAATTGAGAGAAGATTGATCGTTCGTGGAAAAAAAACATGTAGTTTAAAAAAATATATATAGCCAATTATTAATAGAAAAATGTACAAAAATCAGCTTATACCTTAATAACTTCTTTTTAAAATAATAAGTAGAAATGCTATTTACATTATTTTTGAATGTCAGTTTAGTAATTGAAAAGATTAAAGTTTTATTACCATAATTATAATATAAGCAGTATATCATATCATTGATATTTGCGCTTGGATATTTTTAATAAATTTTTATAAATTCAGGATATATTATATGTATTTCAGATCGTTATCTATATTTGAAATTTAGAGTTTATAAAATAATATCTTCCAATGATACATTTTTCTCTTTTCATCTTTATAAGATTTCCACTGACGATCAAGATCATGGGCTATCGATGATATACATTTTTTACAAATGAGAAACAAGTTAGGATAAACAGAGTATGAGTAAAATGAGTCGCAAAGTGAAAGTTGGGTGTCTTCAATGTATGTACTATCACGGTGTCCTGCAGAGTTCTGTGTAATCATTGTAACGATGGTGACGATCGCACATGATCGAGCAACTCGCATCGACATAGTAATTAACACAACTTCTAGGATAGTGTAACATTTATCGGACAAGCTACGAGTCACGGTGTTTAAGTAAATATACATATATATACATATATATGTATATGTATATATACATAGCGAACTTTTAGATTTTATATATTGTGTGTGAGAATGTATGACAGCGAGATGTACGCGTGTAAATGCGTGTGTGAGCGCGCGCGTCACAGAATTTAGGTTCGACAGGTTAATAAATCGTATTTTCGAAATAAATCTTGTTCTATAAATTTATGTATCCTCTCAGTCCTACCTTTTAATTCTAATTTTAATTGATCTTTAAAGAATCTTTAAAAAAGTAGAAAATCTGTTAGAATTTTCAAAGAAATATATTAGCATATATATATATATATATATATAATGTGCTCTTAAATCTGAATTTCGAGATATTTTACAATAGTTGCAAAGCTGCTTTTTTTGCTGAACGCAGCTAATGCCTAACCATGTCCTACCGCATACTGATAAATTCAGCGGAATAACCTAATTATATTAAATAAATAGGCAATAAATAATAATAATTAAAATAGATAATAATTTCAATCTTTAAAATGTAATAAAATTAACAAATAACAGAGTTAATGAGAGTCAGCGGATAATGAAACGTAAGTTTTGTAGATTTTTTAATCTGTGAAACTTGCGATGACTCTGATTAACTCTGTTGTTTATTGGTTATTTTTGTATTTTATATAAACAATAATTTAAAAAATATATAAGAACTCGCAATTTGCGAGCAAGTTACCCTCCCGAATATTTAGTTCTATCTTTTTATACATACACCTTTTAAAAATTTAGATTGGTATTACCAACCTACTTCATATAGACCTTCTTCTTTCTTTTGGCCACATTAAACTCTTAATCTTTCGTTGCTCCTGGCCATGTATGTAATATTCTGACTTCATGTGCCAGAAATCGACAATAAGGAGAAATACTCCTTTTTACTGCCGATTGCTGCCGGACAACATCGCCGGCAATAAGATTTTACACTTTCGTATGACATGCGCGAAACACGAACGCGTCGCGAAGAGGCCATCATATGAAATTGATTAAATATCAATATGAACAATTATCAATAATAGTAATAATAATAATTCTACAAATTAATATACAAATAAGTTTCGCGTTTATTTTCTATTCGTGTTTATTGGAAATGAAAAATATAAATATTCGACTAAAAATAAAAATCTAAATAAAAAAATCTTTATATAGAATATTTTTAATGTTTTGATTTCGAAAATTTCGAATATTATAAAACAAGATAAAATTTTTTAATATAAATTTTACAATCTAAACATTAATTTAAAAATAAACTGAAAATTACTAAATCAATTACCATTCAATAAAATTCAAGGCCCATTTTTGAGGATTCGAACGATTCGTTGCTGAATCTCATCTCAAAGAAGATGAGAAATTCAGATGAATGATATAAGATCCGAAAGGGACAATTTTCCCTTACATCAATAGACATATTTCTTTTTATTTTGTAAATTATTAGAATTATTTTTTGTATTAGGTGTTGGAATTAATTCGTAGCGTTTTTTAATGAAAGAATGTTATTTATTTCACATGAGCATTAAAAAATACATTAATAAAAGTACTTCCCATCACTTGTAAAACGCTACGAATTAATTCCAACACCTAATATAATTTATTATTTCAAAATTAAATATTTTAAATGATGCAAAATTCTGATTTTAAAATAATCACGAGATAAAATTTTTCTATTCCTTGACAAAATTATATTAGATCTTACATCATATTACTACTTTAATTAAAACCTCGTTACATATGGATAAATTATAAAAGTTTAGGCTAAAGTTAGTGCATTGAGATAAATAGCAAAAATTAATAATCATAAAACGTTTTTTATAAAAAAAAGCGAGATCAAAAAATTGTATGATATGTACGCTACATTAAAATATTACGAATTTACAATTAGTAAATAAAATTTGAGTCTTTAATAGTTATCTTAAATTAAATAATTTTACTCTATTGTTTTAATTTAATTAACAAGATATTGAGCAGTGGCGACTTATAAAAATGATTAAAAATAATTCAAACTGGGTATAATGTGTTATTATAAATTTAACAGTGCATATACGATAAATTCCGTAATGAAAGGCATCCAGCTAGGATTATCCTAATCTGTTATAATTTACCCATTTTAAGGTAAAAAATGTATGGAATACTATACATACATTTATCCGTATATTTTTATTAAATTGATGCATATATGCATTTAGATATACATATAGTATATTAATAAATTAATCATACATCCGTTATCTCAATAAAAACATTAATTTATCACTCACCAATCTGATGCGCAACAGCGGAGTTGCTACGATGATTCTATAACAAAAAAAAAAATTAAAACAAAACAGAAAAAATCAATCAATATTTTTAAAAATATTTACTAAACGCAAAGTTCTTTTGAAAATAATTATACAATCTCCAAAATATCTAATTTTTATAAGCATTACATTTTTTATCATTCAGTTAGATATTTATAAAAATAATTATACATTCGGGATAAAATGTTACATAATGGAAAAAAATATACATATTACATATAAATAAATATATATATATATATATATATATATCCAATTTGATATAATTTTATATAATTATATACCATTATATATAATTATATATGAAACATTTTTTCTCGAGCATTAAGAAAGATCTTGAAAATACATATTTATAAAATTTTAAAATAATTTTGAAATCATTCTTTTTTTTAATCATCATTTTTAAGTCAGTATAAAATAAAGCAACTCAAGAATAAACAAAAAAAAGATATTGATTTTACATAAGCAAAAAATTATATTTACTGCAAGGTTGCTCCGCCGGTGCCCGATATCTCTCCCAGACCTCCTCTTCCTCTCAGAATTGGGTTGACATCCTCTCGCGCAGGACACTCACGTAAAACATTCGCGAATAATACATTATAATCGCGCGCGGACTAATTATTTAGAAAAGTTTCTTTCACTTCGAACTAGAATTCTATCAAATGGATTTTATAAAAAGTTTATTAGTCCGATAACTTCAACGACACTCCCGAAGCACACACACACACACACACACACACACACACACACACATACACACAACGCGCGAACCGGCTGCTCGTTTCCTTTCAATTTAATCAGCGAGGGTAGCTTCCCTGGATTTGGTCATTGGATTTTTACATGAAGAAAACGATTTTACTCAAATATCTAAAAATTTGCCTAGATATTCAGATAAATCTGAAAATTTTTAGATACTTAAAGAAAACTGTTCTTTTCGTATATATCCTCTGGGTATCTGAGCTCTCTCACCACGTTAAGGTTGTACTCGTGAGAGGGAAGATATCATCTGAAAAAAATAATATACTATTATTTATTACTTCACACATACACACACACACACACACATACACACACACACACAACACACACACACACACACAATTGTCGGTTAACTTTTAGAAATGAATATCAATTTGCTACCATTGAGAAATAAATTCAGAGAATTTATATAAAAAAGGACTAAATCTCTTATTACGATGTTTGTAAGATACAATATCAAAATCAATAGAACGAGCTATAGATTAATAAAAAAAGAGGAATATGTCTTTTATTACCGACAAGTAGTTCCAAAGTTACGCTCAATTTGTTATCATATCGCGAAAGGTGCACGAAAAAGAAAAATTAATTAAATTATTAACTATAAAAACTATATTAATTGTGAAAGTAAAAATCACATAAATTGCGTTATTTATATTTAGAGAATATTTATTAACATTGCTATTTTATAACTCGTACGATACCGTTCGAAATATAATCGAGAATTATTACTCAAGCAAGAGGAAAAAAATTTTATGTTAAACAAAAATAATTGTCGCCCGTAATTATCGCGAAATGGTAATAAATTCTTTTCCATCACTTTTTGATTGCCAAACGAATAAATCGTACGAAATATCTGTTCCATGATAGACTATCTTTATCATCTCAATCCTTTTATGAATAATTAATCGTGTAAGTTAACAATCGTGTACTCTGTGAGTATTCAAAATACAACGTTGTATTATATTTAGCATTCTTCGCGATAACGTTTCAAAAAGAAAAGAAGAGCGGCACGTGGCACAGTTACCTACCTGTACGAGCCTCGGTAAAGAAATGACTGCGCGGTAACTTCGCATTAACGTGACGCGTCACGCCACCCCGTTCCACCCCGTGCCACCCCGTACCATCCCATGCCGCTCGCCCTTTCGTCAAAACAATCTTCAAGGCCGCGCGCCGATCATCTTATTGCAAAAATATTAACGCATATTACAAAATAAGTAAAATAATTCATTTATTACATTTTTATTCTCCAATTAATAGGTTTTATTGCATGGTTTTTGGTTTACTTCTTACATTCGTTACGCACACAATTCATCTTTTAGATATTTCAAATTGTTTTACAATAAGCGGTTATTAGTTTGTATTAACTTATTGTTACACGAAATCCGTACAATATACGTGTGCAATACTTTTAACAAAATGCATTGATGCATTGTGACTTTTTGTTACTTTGATTTCATTTAATTGTTATTTATGTCTTATTTCGCATTCATACTCCGGGAAAGGTAACAGGTAAATTATATTTAAATTATTTTAAACAACTTTTTCTGACTATTTCTTATTTAATAATTCTTAATTTAATATTTCTTATTTAAGTAAGTTTTTGAAATCTAAAGTATGACATTACCTACTTGTAAGTACTTGTAAGTACGTTTCAAAGAGAAAGTTTCTCGATGTTTCACACGAAGAAGAGTGGCACGGCTACCTACATGCACGAATCTCGGTAGTGAAATGACTGCGCGGTAACTGTGCGTAATCATGACGCGCCGTCTACCCTCCCTTCCGTAAAACAAACTCCCAAGGTCCTAAAGGCCGCGCGTCAATTGTCTAATTGTCGAAATATTACGCGCATGTTACAAAATAAGTAAAATAATACAATATATTCTTTGCATTTTTGCACGGTTTTTGCTTTATTTCTTACATTCATTACGCATTCACACAGCTTATGAATATCTTGGTTCAATTGTGTCACAATAAGTGATTATTAGTTTGTAATAACTTTATATTACACAAAGTCCGCGCAGTGTACACAACATTTTAATAAAAGGTTGATGCCCTGCTTTTCGTTACTTTTGAGTTGCTGAATTCCGTCATATTTTATATTCTTAATAAAAAGATAAATAATGGATCAGATTGAAAATACATACATATTTAATTGTTGAGAAAATTTTCATGTTTATTTAAAGTCTAGTAGCAATTGTATCCGATAAAAACTGAACAATCTGAATTTAGTATTTATTCGATCTTTATGTATTTTAAACTTTCTATGTAATTTTACATAAAATATTGTGAATCTAAGCACATAATTAAATGGTATTCTACAATTTTATATTTTATCAAATTTTGAAAAATGTAATAAAATATATATTGTACCAAAAATAATAACTAATATATAATAATTAATTCAATTAATTTATAATTTTAATTAATAATAATTAATTAAAAATCTCATCGGTGCGAGATACTATATTAAAGATCATTGGCCCTGGGCAAATTTTCGTGACTATCAATAAGACCTCAGGAACTCGGGGATAATTGAAGAACATTATATCGACAATTAATAAAAATTTTTGATTATTAACCTAAATATTTCGATAATTTATTATTAAATTCGTGATTTTTTATTATAATATAAATGCTGTATAAATAAGTATATGTATACTTTTAATACTATAATATCTTATATATTGCCGAAGAATTACAATTTTTCTTTGCAATTATTATCTCTTTAATTAATAATCAAATTCGGATATGATAACATTTTAAATCACAGTTTTTAATAAAAATTAAGTATTATTAAGAATTAAATATATATACATGTCTACAAAACTAATAAATCATGAAATTAGTATCATATTATCAGTTTCTTATTCTTAATCACTTAAATTTTAACAGTCATACAACTTTCATAGGCGTTGATCGTCTTTAATAGTATCTCGTCGGTGATTTCACTTACTTTTAAATTTCGCGCCAGTTTTCCCTTCACTTCGTTTTATTTAGGGAATTGTAGGGATTTTTGTATAATTTTGGTAGGGATAAGTGGTAATTTCGTTTTAACCACACTGTAACCATTGTAGATGATCCTTTACAATGTATAAAGCAATACAATATAAGATCTTTTTAATAAAATCTTTATGAGCACAGTATTTTATTAACAATAATAAATGTAATATGGCCCAAGCATATGACAGTTATTACAATGATTATCATAAAAATGCTGAACTACAGCAAAATTTAAAGTACAAGAAAAAATACCGAAAACTTAAGAGGATCGTGAAAAATACCGTATTTGTGAGTTTTGATATTGTAATTTTGACATATGATATATGCAGATGTTGATATCTAATTGAATGTATAAGCATATAAGTATAATAGGATTGTAATCCTAATTCCAATACAGGAAAACGCAGCACTATGTGATCAAGTTGCACATATGCAAGAAAATTTGATGTTGGTTAAAGAGGAGAGGCTGTTTCTTCTACGTAAATTATGCCAACAACAAGGAGAGATGGAATCTAATTCGACAAGTCTAGCTCGTTCACAAACAAGTAATGCAAATTCACCATCACTTAATCCAGAATGTACTACGCCCAAAAAAACAGTAAAGAAGAGAGCATCCACAGATGGATCAGGTATTTCTCTATAACTATTAGCTGTAAAATTAATACCTTAACTTTATGAAGGTTGATAATGTCAATGTTAGCACTATGTATTAAGCATTTATATAATAAGGATTATTTATAATGCAGTGAGTATAAGTCTTTCTTACATAAGAATTATAATTTGAATTTATCACAGAATCGAAAAATAAGACAAAAAGGTATAACAAAACTGCCAGAAGATTGGTGCAATTGATTCCATTGGATATACATGGAAGGCCATTATTTCCTATAGCCTTGGGAGATCTTACAATATATTCTCTTGGTGATGTGGTATCAGACAGAATCGCATATCATACAGAAGAACTTATATTTCCAGTAGGTTATTGCAGTACAAGAGTATACGCAAATTTGAGAGATCCAAGAACAAAGAGTTTATATACCTGCAAGATATTAGATGGTGGTCCAAAACCTAGGTATATGAAACTATTCATACAACTAAAAACAATTATTTCTAAAAGAAATTATACAGATATACAAACATATGATTTTGTTATTTATAGATTTGAAATAGTATCTGATAATGATCTAGATCAACCGTTAGTCGGATCCAGTCCTGACGAATGTCACTTAAAATTACTGGCAGCAATTTCTCCAGTGCTTTGTACGATAGTGCCAAAGGGTGCGGATTTTTTTGGAATTTCTCATCCTACTATACAAAATTTAATCCAAAGTTCTCCAGGAACGCGTAAATTGGCAATGTATAAACAACAACGTTTTGAAGTATGTACATAGCATTTTAAAATTATTGTATTTATTCTTAACCATAAAGGATTAGAAATAATTAAATCTAAAATATTTTTATCAATTTCTCTCTTAAGTAATACATTCACTTCAAATTTAAGGAAAACTTTGATAAGAAATATTTTGAACTTAGGATAATATATTTTGCAAAATTTTAAATTTAAAACAGTTTATTCAGAAATTATATTTTATAGGTAAGCAAAAATCATCACCTGCATGTTGATCGAGCTACAAGTCCAGTAACAGAAACAGAAACTGATCCAGGATTAGGCTTTGCGGCATTACACAGGCATTATGCTTTGAATTCTTATAGAGTGAAAGAAGAACCTTCAGATCACGATCTATTAGCACTTCAAGATCTCCTCGCATAGTTATTAGTATAATATAAAATAACAAACAATTTGTATTAAAATAAAAAGTTAACAAGACATTCATAAAAATTAATATTTTGAT